GGAGAGGCAGTTTTCCTGTTAGCATTCAGGAGGCAGAGCCGGGGGTGACGAGAGAGCGCCGTTTCTGCTGCAGGCGCTGACCCGAACGGCAGCAGGGAGGGGGCGGCCGAGGTCAAGAGGGAGCTTACCTCGGACATAAAGGTTAGCCGGAGCCGAATAACGAGTCCCAGCGCTGTTGACAGCCACGCACTCGTATTTGCCCTGGTCCGACTCCTCGCTGTTCTCAATCTGGAGCGCTCCTGGGGAGGGAGGTGAAAATGTCACAGTTAAGATCTGCACCGCACACGTGGAGACACACACACTCACTGTCCAGGTGTTAGCCTGACGCAAAGCTCCCCATAACGTGGCTGAGCACAAATCTGAATCCAAACAACTAACTTCAAGTTTATCATTTGATCTTATTATTTATGACAACTTGAACAATCAGCTGTTTTTGTGCTGACTCAGGCTTTCCAGCATTTTCTCATTCCAGGGTTTCAAATACTGACATTAGTCAGATGTGCACAGCTGTGGTAACGGTTCTGCGACACATCAGGTTTATGACAGCACGCCTTTCACTCCCAGCTTGTATGAAGTCTTTGCAAGGCTTCATGTTTAAACCGGGGACGTGCACAAGGTGACCTCCTGGTTTCTGCAGGCTGCATTTTACTGAAGATGAATATTTTTTTTAGCATTTTTGGAGCCAGAAGTAAGAGGATGGAGTGCTGAGATGTAAGTTAACACTAGTAAACGTGGTTAGATAAGCTTTACAGGTGCCACACACACAGGTATCTGCTGATTAGTGCCAAGTGGCGTCCACATTAAATAAAACTGGATCACAGACTCTTTGGATGTTCTTCTAACCACAATTAACCACAAAAGCAAACCACATTATTTATCAGATAAATTCATTAAAATTGATACTTTAAAATCTGCAGTTTCCATGTCAGCAAAGCTAAACATGAACAGTATCAAAACAAACTGTAGTCCTCCCCATATGAGGGGTATGTTGGGGAAAACTAGTTCTAAGTACAAGAAACATTTTTTTGTAAAGTTGTTTTTGTAAATTGATGAAAATGACTGTTATTCTTTGAACCTCTCGTTCTTCTTTGATGGCTTTGAAGGACAAGAACTCGTTCAGTGTATCTTTGCAACATCAGACAGAGAAGCAGCATCGACACCCTGGGATAGAAACGCACTGGCTCAGCTGCCGCTGTCAACAGTTTAGCTAAACATGTCTTGTAGAGACACAACCATGTAAATGTGATTCTTTTTTCTGTTCTGATGTTCCTTATTCTCCGTCACAGATGATCCAAACTTGGATGTTAAACATCCAAAGTTTCAAACAAAACATTTTTTTCTGAATGAGAATAAACTGAGCGGCCAATTTAAGATCAAAGAAGGAACATTGTGAGATCTGAATCACGCAACATTAGCTGAGCTCTACAACACAAACCTGGAAACGAACAGAACAGTTTCCATTTAATGAAACTGTTTCTGTTCAAATGGTTGGAAATTGAAGACGTTTGTTTGAAAGTCTAAACAGGCGATGTGCTGCTAAACACAATTGGCCGTGAAATGTAATTTCCTGTTTTTCTGGCAACATCGTTTCTAAACTGACTGCTGCACTACAGGATTCCCGAGAAGCAATCTGAGCTGTTTATTCTGACTGTCGATCAAAACACTTTCAAATTGTTGAACAGGTGCAAGTGAAACAGAAGACTTTGGTCTAACTGCTGAAAGTGTCCCAGGGATCCAACAGCTCGTCATTTTCAGACGTTAAAATGTTCATGAAACCCCCGATTGTTCAAAACTAACCTCCACTGATCACTGCGATACAAACACACAATACATACCTGACATGGTGATCTACAGCCAATCACCAAAAAGCTTCTTTTGCAATTTCATAGCATTTAGAAACATGTAAAATGTCATTGGTGAGGTTAGCTTTGAGAAAGAAAGCAACATGTGTTTAGTAATAATGTGGTTTATGTGCTGACCGTGACATCATGCAGCGTAGCAGCGCACAGTAAGTACTATGGGAAATAAAAATGTACATATTTCAGAATACAATCCTGAAATGCAACATGGGATGGGTGTGTGAAGCCGGCTTAAGAAAAGGAAACGTGTGTGTGGCAGCATCCCGGGTGGATCTGGTGCAGACAGCGAGCCCAGAGATGGAGGAGGAACAACCTTCATCTGGGATGCAAGGACATGGTGCAGCGATGAATGTCCTTAAATCTCCCACTTTCTCTCGTTCTCACACACACACACACACACACACACACACACACACACACACACACACACACACCTT